TTTCTGTTTCAGATATGTGGATATTGTTTGAAGAAATATGGGGTATCTTTTCAGTGAGAGTGTTTAGATTTGTTTCAGATGTGAATTTTCTTCTCAAAATATTTCCGGAAAGAATAGTCAGGGTTACATGGGAATGTGAAAAGGCATAAATCAGTCAACTTTGTGATGGAGCAAATATTAAAATGGCTTTAATTTGGAGATTACTCTCTTACGTGTATCATTTACTTGTAGCACTAAAGATCAAGGTCATGATGCTCACTCAGTCCCTGCTGTGGTAGCACATAGCAATGCTGAAGGGCAGAAGCTTTGTCTGGGGGAGGGAGTTCCTGCTGCTAGAGTTTTGAGTGGGGTTTCATACACAAATTCTGAGTTAAAAAAACCTCTGAAAGATAAATTAAAGTAACAGTTTCCACTGATCATAGCAGTTTCATAGGAGTTGAAAGTTATCAAGCAGGTTCCCTGTGCTTCAGTTTTGGTGAAACGATGAGGTGGTTTGTGCTGTTCATGGATTTCTCCTGCTGCTGTCCATGGAAAACTGTTAATGAATTTTAGTGGAACAGGTCAAGTTGAAATAGAAGCAACAAAAAGAAATCAGAACTGTATTTGAGTTTACTGCCTTCAGGTATCGAGATCATCAATGAACACCTGGCAAGTAAAGATAAGACAAATGTTGCAAAATTACTGAGGAATCTGAATGTGGAAATTTGCCAAGGCTGTAGGGAAGTGTCACACCATGTATTAGACATTGCTGATATCTAAATACGTATTTGTGCTCCATCAACAGGTTCTTAAATAGTTTGGACTCACTACAGACTGTACATTGCTCAAATATTTTTTGTGGTTTTTAGTGAAAATTAATGAATCGCCGAAGCACTAAGTATGTCACTTGGTACATCGTGCAGCAGATGTAAGAGAATAAATCTGCTTTTGGTTAAAGAAATCTGAAGTTAGTATTTTATTCTGCTAAGGGTTTAAATCCCCTTTGGAGAAGTTGCATAAATGAAGTTTAAAACGGTTTGGAAATAGTAGTTTTAATTTATCTTCTAATCCAGTCACAAGATGGGGTTGCAGTCTAACTGTGCATTTGATTTGACAGTTCAGGTTTGTTTCTGTTTAAAATGGATGTGATATATCTAGTTCCTCCTTCATTAGACATCAGATTCGTTGTGGACATTTATTTCTTCTACAGAACGTGAAACTAAAGCAGTTCCTTAAATTTTAGTCTTAGTGCTGGAGATAGAAAGACTTGAAAATATTTGTGAGGAGGATGTTTTTTCTTTTGATTTACGACAAAAGACAGACTTGAATACTGCTAGATTCTAAGTACTTCCATGTCTCCTTGTGGCTGCCTGTTCTGTGGGAGCTTACACTGCCCACGAGGTGCCCAGGGCTGCAGTGGGATGGTGAGTCAGGTGGCACTACAGGTGTTAGGGCTTCCTTGGTCCTGTGGGCTGTCAGTTCTGTCAGGTCCTTGTGGCTGCCACCACATTCTCACCCTGTGCTCGTGCACTGCTGAGCAGAAGAACAGTTAGAATCATAGAATCATCCAGGTTGGAAGAGACCTCCAAGATCATCAAGTCCAACACTACCGCGGTTACTAGTAGTGCCACAGCCAGTCTCATCTTGAAAACCTCCAGAGATGGTGAATCCACCACCTCCCTGAGCAGCACATTCCAATGCCTGAGCACTCTCTCTGTAAAAAATCTCTTCCTAATATCTAACCTAAACCTCCCTTGGCAGAGCTTGAGTCTGTGCCCTCTTGTCCTAGTTTTTGGGGAGTCTCTTGAAACCCTGTGGAGGTGCACTGCTTGCCAGCCAGGAATTTGCCTAGGCTCTCTTCGTATTTTCTCTTTTTTTTTTTTTTTTTTTTTTTTTTTTTTTTTTTTTTTAGGTGTGTGTCTTCCCATGCCCAGTGTAGCAAGAACAAAAGTACCTGCTGGAATGCACTGCATGTGTCCCAAAGGCTGTGGATGGCTGTATAGTCTCTTAGGAGAAGTGCATGGTTGGAAATAAGAGGCTGTATCATGTGGGGAATTTTATAATGGAAAAAGCTGTCACTTTAAACAATCTTTCTGAGTTCAAACTAAGAACAAGGGGCATATACCTCACCTGAGGGGCCCCCAACAGAGGGGGCTTTTTAAGAAAACTTTTGTAAATACAATCTCCCAGGACTCTGAATCATTGGAAATTGTAACTCCTTATGCTGTTGTGAAAATATGCATATTTCATTACTAAAATAATTGACCAAGAAATTCCAAGGATGCTGTGAATCTTTAAATTTCCACAATTATGTAAAACATTTTCAGGACTTTAGGCTAAATTCAATCTAGATGTCCTAAGAGGGTTTTTTTTTGCAGAGAATAGTGTTTCGGGAGTAGGTAGGGAATGAAAAACTTGCATGTCAGAAAAGACACTGCAAGGTCTGTGCTGCTGCTGCAGGTCACAGAGGCAGGAGCACAGCTCAGGGGAGAGCTGTGTCTGAGCAGGGAAAGACTCTGTTGAAAGAAAAGCCAAAAGCAATGAGCAACTGGAGCTAAGAACACAATGTATACCCACATGCCTCTGGTTTATAGACAGAATGCAGAGAAGGGTGTGGAATTGAAACCATCTATTTAGAATGCCCTGTGAAGCTCCTAAGTTTATGCAGAAAATTGCTATAGGACATAAAACTTGTTTGCAATAACCTTTGTCCTGCTAAAATTCATGAGCTTTTTATTCTGTACTAAAACTACGTTTAGGTGATGAAATGCAGCATTTTAAATTTTTATAAATGTGATGTATTAACTACTTTGGACTCAGTATAAAATTTGTGTACCTCTGTTTCTTTACTGGTAAGAGGAACAATCTTTTACTTGCATAGACCTTGGACCAGGCTGAAACACTAATTGAATGACCAGTTGTATATTATCGTAATGGGTTATTTAATGTAAACTCATTTTCAGTGTGATCTTGGTTGTTACTATGAACTGCCTGAACATTGTATATCCTAATTGAGTTGTATGAATTATTTATTTGTAATTGGATATCATGTTTCAAGAATAAAATTAATTTCACAAATCAGGCCCCACATGTTCAGTTTTCTCCAGCGACACTTCCTTTTTCTCTGTGTCTGGATAATTTATGATTGTAACTTAGTAGATTGAAATCATGCTAGTTTGTCCATGGCTGCTCAGGAGGTTGGTGTGTGTGCTGGTTTTGCCTGGGGTAGAGTTAGTTTTCTTTACAGTGGCTAGTCTGGGCCTGTGTTTTGGATTTGTGCTGAACACAGGGTTGATAATGTTGTGTTTGTTCTTGTCAAATATTTCAAACACGTGATGGTTTCATGCTGAACACAGAGACACAAGTTACCAGGTTGGATTTTCACTGCAAGAAAGTTAATCCTGCTTGTACTTTTATTTGCATATGATCTGGAGCAGGTCCAGAGAAGAGCAACGAGGCTGGTGAAGGGACGGGAGCACAAGTGCCATGAGGAGAGGCTGAGGGAGCTGGGGGTGTTCAGCCTGGAGAAGAGGAGGCTCAGGGGAGACCTTAGCACCCTCTGCAACTCCCTGACAGGAGGTTGGAGTCAGGTGGGGGTTGGTCTCTTCTCCCAGGCAACCAGCAGCAGGACAAGAGGGCACAGACTCAAGCTCTGCCAGGGGAGGGTTAGGTTGGATCTTAGGAAGAGATTTTTTAGGGAGAGAGTGCTCAGGCATTAGAATGTGCTGCCCAGGGAGGTGGTGGATTCACCATCCCTGGAGGTTTTGAAGATGAGACTGGATGTGGCACTTAGTGCCATGGTCTGGTAACCATGGTAGGGTTGGACTCGATGATCTTGGAGGTCTCTTCCAACCTGGTTGATTCTATGATTATTGTCTGCTCCAAAAAAAATCTAGGAGACACAGCAGGCAAAGGGAGTACCCAAACAGCTGGAAAAGTAATTTTTAAAAAAGAAAAAGTTTTGATACTTGGGAATAATATTTTTTTAATCTGTTATTATTTCTGTGTATGTCCAATTCCTATCTTGGCATGAAAATCTAAAGGAAGCCCCAGGCCCATCCTTACCTGCTGTCCCATGGGAACCATTGGGAATATTGCTGAGCCAGGGATGTGACCTGGTGAGGTACTTGCCTTGCCCTCCTGCTTCAAGTTTCTC